ACTGTCTCATTTCATTCCAGTAATAAATACAGTGATGTTGTTTTATAAATCAATATTTTCAATCTGTCCAATTTGTATGATCGTATGGATTTACATCATTTTTGTTTACATTACAACGATTAATGAAGTACATCGTAATTTTTTTTCTCCATGACATTTCATTTCATAAACGTTAACGATATCATCATCATCTAGTAGTAGTTATTCTATCCTCTTTTAAAGTATCAATTATTATTATACAGCAGTTTTTTCTTTTTTTCGGAACATTCATTATACTACAACAAACTCTAATAAAGATGAGTAACTTGATTGTTTTGTTCTTGTTACGAAAACTAATGCAAACTTGTGTCATCATTACATAAGGTTTACCAACGAGAACAACAATCACGACAATAACAACAATATAAATGAAACACTTTTTTTAAATTAGAAATATACGTTTATGATTGATTGTATTGCTGGGTTGTTGTGAAGATTGTTAAGTTTTATTTGTAACCATGAAACAATCGATCAATGTTAGACCACCATTAGAAACCTGGAAGCACTGTAAGACGGCCGTTTCGTCCTGTTATGGGATTCATCAGCAGTGCGCATCCACGACTCCTGCACCCGCGTGGTCCGGCTTAGTGGTCTAACGGTCAGGGCGTTCGCGCTCAATACCGGAGGTCCTGGGTTCGAATCCTGTCGGGTACAGGAGTCGTGGATGCGCACTACTGATGAGTTTATGATTGTATCGAAAAAAATCCATAAATAAACTATTGACATATTTTATGGATATTTCATGTGGTGTAATAAACTCATTGAATTGTAAAGATTATTATTATTATTATTATTATTATTATTATTATTATTATTATTATTGTGATAGTAAACACTATGACATTCAAAATTCAATTCAGTGAATATGGATTATATATTCATGACAAATGGTAAATAGTGAATAGTTGTTAGAAATGCATAAAGCGATTGAAATTTCAGCATGAATTGAAGACACTGTGATTGTTGTTGCTGTTGTTGTTTGAATAATCTCTAATAGATTTACGTTTTTGTGATTAAGTTTAATGGTGTTTCATAGCATATGCAATGATGATCTAGTTAAAATTAATGCTTGATTCAAAAGAAAAATTCTACCATGTTGATCAACAACTCTCTTACACTATATATATGAAGTACAATTCTCTCTCTCTCTCTCTCTATATATATATATATATATATATATATATATATATATATATATTCATCTGTGAAATGTCCTTCAGATACAAACTCACTGAACAGATTTTCAAGGATTATTAGTTTAAATAAAAAAACAATTGTGTTTTAATTAAACTTAACACTAACTTTATTGTTCGTTCCATAAAAAAATCGTCTGGTGAAACAATAAAGTTGAGTATATGATTTGTAAGAAGTGATCATAAATGATTACAAGTCGAGATATGTATATCCCTTGCGTACTTGCTTACTTGCTTACTTACTCCTGTTACTCCGAACGAATCAGCATTCAGCAACCTACTCTGTCCTGAACCTTATTTTCTAGTTCAATCCGACTGATGTTCATTCTTCGTATGCCTTTTTCCAATTCTCGGCGTAATGTGTTCTTTAGTCTTTCTGTTTTCCTTTGGCCTAGAGAATTCCAAGTTAGGGCTTGTCTTGTGATACAGTTAGATGCTTTACCTAATGTGTGTCCTATCCTCCTCCAACGCTTCTTTTTGATTTATTCCTTTGCTGGTTTTTCCTATCCCGCAGTAGGTCTGGCCAGCAGATCAGAAGTATTTTCCGTAGGCGACTGTTGATAAACACCTGTAGCTTTTGGATGATGGCTGTTGTGGTTTTCTGAGTTTTGGCCCGTACAGTAGAAATTTCTTGTCATTTTTATTGAAAACTCTGACTTTTGTGTTGGTGGACAATTGTTTGAGTTCCAGATTTTCTTCACTTATAGAAATTCAGCCCTTGCGTCGCTGATCCGCGCTTTCACATTCGCATCAGGTCCACCTTGTCTATTATCATTGATGCTGCCAAGCTATTTAAAGGATTTTACGTCCTACAAGGCATCTCCATCAAAAGTAATCTGGTCGGTGTACGTTGTTTTGAATCAGAGGATTTTGTATTTTCCCTCGTAGATATATATCATAGTCTAGATAATTTCTTACAATCATCACAGTTCCATTTGTATGAACTGAAACTCTGTGATGGAATTGACTTCAATTGAAAATTGTCATTTATCACGAAGTAAATGTGAATGTACGTTAGTAAGCTGTCAATTATCTCAGTAAATTAACTCATATTAACCAACTATACTTCGAGATGGCAGAAAAACTTGAAGCGAATAAGTTCAGAATTGTCAACATATGAAGTTAACACATTTCCATGATCATCTTTTTTTTTTTTACTAACACAGCTTTTCTTTTACTACACTCATTAAAATAAATTTGTTCAAATTGTATCTTTGTCAGTATTTTATAATTTGATGTTTATTTTTTTAAAATTTTCTTTACTGTAGTTATTGAGTAATCACAAATTTGGTGTATTATTGTGTAGAAAAGATCAGTCAACTGAAGAAGAAATGTACAACAATGGTTAGTTAATGCATGCTTGTTATTATGGTTTGTAGTGAATAAGTAATCATGTTTTAATCGTTTGGTTTTCAAGTGAAATAATTATGTTGTTAAAAATGATTTGAAAATAGGTTAGGACTGATTGTGGTGGTGGTGTTTGGTTCTCTGAGTTGAATTCAGCTCAGAGAACCAAACACCACCACCACCACATTCATCCACCTGAGCTACAAATCTTCTCCACCATCTCAGACAGACAGACAGATACAACGCAGAACTTCGTACATAAGTACATCAGTTCAGGTTGCCACATCAAGTCAGCACAGAGACCTATATGTCAGTTCAAATCCAAGAGTGATAGCGATAGTAGAATTATAAGCAGCAATGGAGAAGATTAAGGAGCCAAGATCTCCACCATCTCAAGGTTAGGACAGAGTAATCATAGCTAATAATATTGTACATTTAAACATGTCAGACAGCAATCAACCAATAGAAAAGCTTGACTACCGCGTATAGGGTTTATTATTTAGTGTGTAACAAACATAATTCACTTAGTATATGAGTTAGATTACGACGCTAAACAGAAGTAACGGTAGTTTGCTGTTTCAACATTAATCTGTGAACGAGAGATAAAATTTATGGTGTACCGAGTACTGTCGTCGTTATCAACTCACTGGCATTCTTCTCAAATGTTTCGCTTTCTTTAAAACTATTCAAAATCTTTATTTTTGTTTACCCAACCCTAGAACGCCTACAAACGTGACAATAGCATCTCTGTGCTAATGCGGTATGGCAACTTGAACTGATGTATGTATGTACCTACGATGTTCTGCGATGTTGTCGACTGACTGACTGACTACTATCTTTCCAAATTTTCATTCTTCACAATAATACTTTAATGGCTCACTTTAACAAACTAATCATTTCTAAATAATAACTTCTTAACGGTAGAGTTAATGATTGTTGTAATCACTTACTATAGACTCTCATTTTACGCAAATAAAATTAACTGTATATATGATTGTACAACATGAGTAAATGAAATTATCGGAACGAAGATTTCATGCGTTGAATTGCCTTCATTCTCCTTTAATCATCTCAATGATTGAGTGTCTTTTGTTTATATTAAAAATATTTTCTTGATAGATTGATTATCAATGGCTAGATGTAAGTATATATATATATATATATATAGAGAGTTCACCCTTTGTGCAAAAGGTCACTCTGATCTTCTTACTGTCATTTTGTGATGCACACTACAAACATACAAAACACCTCCGCAAACTTATCATTATACTATTGATCATAATAGCATACTAGTAACTACTGTTGAAAAGCTATTTCAGAAACCAAGATTCACACCGTATCAGTTGTAAGATATTCAACTTATCACTAGAGTTTTAGAAGATTGTTTGTTGCACAGTATTGCAAAATGAGTAGAGTTGGAAATATAAATGAAAGCGTTCGACAGTCGAACGGAATTCCTTTGATTCCTATCTCTGGTCTTATCGTATGTAGGTGTGCACTAACTGATCAATCTAAGATTAATTAGTCTCTATAATTTAAACTTTCAAAATATTGGCTATATGCCAAAAGCTAATGATTGAGTTGTTATCCAAATGAATTTTTTTATTGATCGAACAAAAAGTAATTCTTTGCTACTTCAACTATTGTGATTAACTAGCTTTGATGCTTTTATCTCTACTATCACATTATGATACTTTGAAATTATGCGAAATCATTGTTTTTTTAACAACATTTCCAGTATTATTTATGAAATGAATAGCGTAAATATTGATCAATGAATAGATTATCTCACATACATGACACGTTTCACTGCTAATACAATTGATAACTAAACAAGCCTAATGAAACGTTCAATTGCCCGTATAGATTATGAAGATTGTTTAATATTCTGGACGGGAGGTAAAGCAAGAAATTAATATTTTCGGGCAGAGTTTTTGGAGGTTTGTGTTTTTACACATTTGAAATCATCAATCAGTCATTGTTCAAGACCACCATTAGAAACCTGGAAGCACTGAAACACGGCCGTTTCGTCCTGTGTTACGCCTGCACGTAAACACGTCAACTTGATATACTTGAACTATTACGAGTTTACCTAGTCGAAACCGAGAGCGAGGATCCGGTGACACGACATGTTACTCAAATCCGATTATTACAACCCACATATTTAGTTAAAATAGGAAGACATGATATGAAGTAGAACCTGTATTCTACAAGCATCCAAAAAGTACGAGGTCCGAATACAGAAGAGAATCAGGATCCCGGACTAGGGATCCGGGACCGAGCCCTGGTCCTGGTCGTGGTCATAAAATGTTACAGATAATGCGTATATATACATTTTGGTCGAATAGGAAACAGCATCGAATTCTGTGACATTGACAGTTAAGACGACCAATAGGAGGTAACATTTGAAATGACATTGGCAGTCAGGATGACCAATGGGAGACAACATTTGAGTATTTCACTGTGAGAATTAAAACGACCATAATTTTGACCAATAGAAATCGACCAATAGGATTCGACCAATAATTCTCTGAGGATATTGGATGAATATCCTAACATCCTGGTATGAGACTCATCAGCAGTACGCATCCATGACTCCTTCACCTCACAGGATTCGAACACAGTGGAACCTTCGGTATTGTGCGCGAACGCCTAACCATCGGACCACTGGGCCGGCATCCAACGGTGTTAATGTCTAACTCTGATTGAGCTAAAGATTTCGCGCGACCTCACCCATTTGTCTTTGGTAGTTACTGCCTACACCCAACAGGGTTGAACTCCACTAGTCACGTCTTCTCAATTAGAACTCCGAGAATTTCCTCACGAAGCTAGTCACCAGTGAGCAAGCACTGTTACGATATTTTTGGTCAGAGGTTTTGGAGATTTGTGTTTTTACACGTTTTGAATCATCAATCAATCATTGTTAGACCACCATTAGAAAGAAATAGTTAAGTATTTTAGAACAAAAAAACAAGCGACATTTGAAATGATTCAACTCAATAGTACATAAACTGAAGAAACCGTTTTTTTTTTCTTAAAAAAGAAAACTATCCTAAGTATTTCTTATGATCACGTGAATACTTTTTGAATACCGATTGGCAATATTGATTGTTTTTTTTAGAATTTCTTTTCAATAATGAAAAATGTAATTAGTTAATTAATTAATCAAATAATTAATTTGTTAATTAAATGGAATCATAAATCATGCTCTACAATCAACATGTGTTTGTTTATATTGTTGTAATTAATGCATAATAAACTGTTGATTGGTTTTGTGATATCGTTAATATTTTTCTTTTATGACAGAGAAATATCTACACTGTTGTTGTATCTTAATAAAAATATCAGTTTTGAAATTGCAGTTTTAATTTGAAAGTTTTATTGTTTGTTGATTGATCGATCATGTCAGATAAATTTAAATTTCATAATAAATTAATTTATCAAGTACCAACAAAAAGTTGATTTACTTGAATGTGATTAATCAAATTTGAAGAGTAGATGAATTCAAACTTTGAATAATATGTCAATGTGACTATAGAACCTAATTATTTCTCATTTTGTACTGGTAATCGACAATCTTTTACAAAACATGTAGTGGACTTTTTATTCATATTGTTGGGTTCGTTAGATCCTCAGAAATCACTTGGCTAAAGGTCCTGATTTTGAATTTTATGTTTTCGCTTGAAAGACGCTCACTTTGACATTGGGCTTGCATTTTCCCCTTTGACTGTCATTGGTTGATGTGATTATTTTAGTACTCTGTTTTGTGGCTCTCCCAATAGCGTTTCTATCATTGTATAAATAAGCTTGAGTTGTGTGCTTGTGGACCTGATATTTTCTGGTTACCTGTGAATACATTCTCTCTACGTCATGCCAAGACTTCTTCCTCTACTTAGTGGGGCCTTGAGACGCTTGGATTAGAGTAGCCTACTGTGTCACTGGATCATTTGTCTTTTCTCTCGTTTACCGAATAAGGTGAACTCGTAGTAGTTTCGAGTATATCACATATTAGACCTGTGTCACTTTTTCTGGATTCTTCCTCACCTGTATCTTTCTCTTTTTAAGTTTATTTCGACCGATTCGCTCTCGTGTGCTGTTACGGGTATGAGGGCGATCGTCACTTCTAGGCTGCCCACACCGTGGAAGGTTGTTTCTTGAGGGACCTGAAAAAGAAGGTAGATTAGTGTTGGTCTTAACGACCTGGGTGCGTGACCGCAGAGTCGAGAGGACAACTGCTTGAGGCCGGTCACACACGGCCTTTTTATGAAGGGTTTTTTCAGTATTAGCTCCGCTCTTAAAAGCCCTTAGTGGGCACCCTTACCAACGGAGACGCAAATCTGTGAGGTAGGGTGAGATGTGACATTTTTAGGATCGACCTTTTCTAACCCCTCCTTCCTTGTGAGAAGGCAGCATCACTGCAGATGCTGGTTGTCCAAGGGAAACACCTTATCGCTATCACACCTCTTTACAGTCAACAGTACGACTTCGCTCTCAGCCCTTGAGTTGCTGCTTTTAGTCTCATCGTTCTTCAATCAACCTGCTTGGCATGGTAGAACCTTCAAGAACATATGTTCCAGCCAATATAGCTCGGTTGAGTCATCACGATAGGCAAGCGTGACCACCACGTCAAGGTAGCAGCTACGGTCGGGAATTTGGATTTGAACTGACAATTGTTTCTCTGTGCTAATGTGATGCGACAACTTAAACTGATGTGCATACGTATGTACGTACAAAGTTCTACGTTGCAACTGACTCACTGACAGGGTTATTTTGAATCTAGTTATTTGAATTCAACATAAACTAACGAATATCTTAAAAACAATCTAGTATTCAAAGTTGATGTTTATGAGCATTTTCATTTTATTTGAGTTTTCTTTTTCTACAAACATAATGAACAAGTCAAATAAACTTCAAGAGATGGTAACATGTCAAAAAAGCAAACTGATTTCTTTAACTTTGATTAAATTTTTACGCCTTTTTTTTAAAAAGAATATTCG